CACACACACACACACACACACACACACACACACACACACACACACACACACACACACACACACACTATCAATCTGATTATGTTCTCACACTAGCTCAGTGTTAGCAGATTTTATATTAAAGATTTTTCATAATAAAAGCCTTAACTGACCTTTCAGAAAGCTCCACCTTCTTTGATTCTTCATGTCCAATCAGTGAGCTCCTCCATCGATCTGAAGTCAACCAATCAGCAGACAGTTCTGTTAGCAGCAGACAGTTCAGCTTTGATGGCTGAGTCACTGAAAGCAATGAAACAAACCTGAAGACTTGCTGCAGGCGCTTCCTGATGATGACTTCCTGTTTGTCCTGTGATGGTTCTTCTCCAGCTGCTCCTCCCTCCTCCTGCTCCTCCTCTTCCTGCTGTGGTTCCTCCAGTGACGCTCCAGCTCCTCCCAGCTGTCGGACGTCCAGCTGCAGCGCACACAAATGAAACCACTGCCAGCCTGGTGAGACCGGATGTGGACGTCCAGAAGCTGCCTTGATGGGAGAATGAGAGGACAGAGGAAACACAGCAGCTGCTGGGGGTCAGGGGGCGGAGCCTCAGTCTTTCCACCTGACCCGGTACGCTGCAGGGAGGAGGGCTCAGTGGGTGAAGGAGGTTTAACTGCAGTAATCCTGCAGAGTCCCAGAGTCATGAGGTGAGCAGACTGCTCCATCTCCTCCTGGGAGGAGGGGGGGTTGAGAGGACAGGACAGATCCACTGCAGCCCCCTTCAGAGGAAGGATGGAGGGGTCTTCTTCCTCCTCAAAGAGCGTGTTGACCTGCAGACACACACATGTGGTGTGAGTTAAGTTCTGGTTCAGGTTAGAGGTCCCACCTCTGCAGGCTCACAGTCTGAACCTAATGTGAAAATATCACAACGGATCTGTTCATAAATGTAACAACATGGAAATACACCTGAACACACAACATGTTGTTGTAGAAAACATGACAAAAACACATTTACAACAAGACACAACTTTGTGTTGATCAAGAAAATACTGCTTGTTTGAAGTCAGCAGGTAAATTAACCGTGTTACAACACAACACACAACCACTTCCTGATACACCAGGCACAACTATTATTAACAGATGTGTGTGTTTGTGTACCTCTGTAATGTGTGTGTTGTGTACCTCTGTAATATGTGTGTTGTGTACCTCTGTAAT